ACTATGAACAATATATGTTTGAATCTTATCAGAGGTGTGCGTAGGGTTCTCGTAGTGTTAACGAATATACATCTRAATTTTTGAGATTAGCTRAAAGAAACCAATTATCTGAAAGTGATAACCAGCAGGCAGCCCGTTATCTAAGCGGTTTGAGACCGTCCATCAGAGACAAAATYGGTGTACAAATGGTTCTTAGTGTGCAGGAAGCAAGGAACTTAGCCTTCAAAAGCAGAATTAATGTTCTAGGACAAGGCATGCAGTGATAATTATCGCCGGTACAGCAGGAGCGACAACAGACCGGCAACTGTTGATAGGAACAAATCAGTCCCGGCAGTACAACCTTCTCACCTAGCAAGTACAAGTAACGCCGATAAGGCTACTACAGGAGGACATACTCGAGGTAATCCTTCCAATCCTCCTAAACCCAATAACCCTTATGCAAGGCCTGCTCCTATTAAATGTTTTAAATGTAATGAGGTTGGACATAGATTCAGTGACTGTCCCAGGAGAAAAGCAGTTAATATGGTAGAAAGGGAGGAGGAAGAAGTATATTGTGGACCAGATGGGGAGGATGAAGAGGGTCCATATGAACATGAGTATACTTGTGTGGTAAGAAAATTAATGTTGTCCCAGAAAAATAAGGATACTTTTCAAAGGCATAGATTATTTCGTACCAGATGTATTGTCAAGGGAAAGTTATTTGATTTAATTATTGACAGTGGTAGTCAGGAAAATATTATTTGCAGGGATGTCATCCAACAATTACAGCTGATTCCTGAAAAACATCCCAACCCATACACAATTGGGTGGATCAAGGAAGGGGGCGGCGTACGAGTGGAGGAACGCTGCAATGTACCTTTTTCTATTGGTAAGTATCATGATGAAGTATATTGTGATATTGTAGATATGGATGCTTGCCATATTTTGCTAGAGAGGCCTTGGCAGTTTGATACAGATGCAAGGCACATGGGTAGGAAGAATACCTACCAACTTGAAAAAGAGGGTACACGTTATACCTTGTTACCCATAACAGAAAAAGGTATTACGAATACTCCAAAAGCACATGAAAAGAATTTTCTTACCATCACCCATCGTCATGCTGAATTTGTTAAAGAATGTAAGGATACTCATGAGATACATTTGTTAGTAGTAAAAGGAGAAGATGTTAATGGTGAAAATACAATTCCAGCTGAAATACAAGGACTACTGAATGAATTTAATGATATAGTTCCAGAGGAGTTACCAAATGAACTCCCTCCCATGAAATATATACAACACCATATTGATTTTGTTCCAGGTGCTAGTCTACCTAACCTTCCACATTACAGGATAAGTCCTAAGGAGAATGAAATCTTACGGGAAAAGGTAGAAGAATTATTGAAAAAGGGACACATTCAAATCAGCATGAGTCCTTGTGCAGTACCTGCCTTATTAACACCTAAGAAGGATG